TGCTGAGTGTCAGGGAGGTATTGCATCATTAAGGAGTCCTTTATGTGCTTCTGTAACTTTTGGAGGGGAGCAACTGATCAGAAGGTACCCGGAGCCCCGTGGGCACCTGTGGGCGAAGAAATTGCTCTGGAAGTCATTACGGATGTCTTTGAGGGAAAAGCTGTGGGTAACTCTAGACAGGCTCATCATGAAGTTGTCTTTTTGGGTTTATAAGGATTTTTGCTCTCCAGTAACTTCAGGTACTCCAGGTTTCGGCGTGTGACCGCCTGGTTCTGGCGGACGTAGTAGGCCAGGTAGCAGATGAGCATGAAGAGCCAGAGGAACATGGTGACGAGTGTCACCACATCAGTGGTTCTCCTCACAGACAAACACAGATCCCAGTCCTCCGTCAGCACAACCAGTGGTATCCCGACAGCTCCTGTGACACCACATCACACAGCGTCAGACCATAAATCAGTGTGTAGCCAAAAGTAAAGAACAAAATGGTATAAAAGAAGGAAAATGATGTGTTGTGTGTTCTTTGTCCAGCACATCTGCTGAGAGAAAGCTCACCGAGGTTTGGGAGATCAGAGGTTGCACAGACAACTTCTGCTAGTGAGGTCGGGTCCAGATCCAACTGAGGCATGGACATCTAAACACAAACAGAAAGTTGTAATGACTTTGTGTGAACTACAGACACACATCATTGCAGCTGTGCACACCTGCATCCTGCAGTCACAGTGCCAGGGGTTATGTGTGAGGTTGGCCTCAATCTGCAGACCGCCGAGCACCGGCAGCTCCAGCGTGGACAGGCGGTTGTACGACAGGTCCAAGAAAGTAAGCGAGTCCAACCCATGGAAGCAACCGTCTTCAAGTGAGGAGAGCTGAGGGCGAAACAGTATGATCCTGCTGTGTCTTACTGGTATTAAACTGGTGCATACTCTGGTACGAAGAGCTGTTCACTACCTGGTTATGTGACAGGTCGAGCTCGTCGAGCAGGAACAGACTGGAGAACGCGTCGGCCGCCAGAGAGGTCAGCAGGTTTTTATTCAGAAACAGACGAGTGGTGCGGTTAGGCAGGCCGATGGGTACCTGAGCGCACAAACACACCTGGATACTGTGAGCGCACAAACACACCTGGATACTGTGAGCGCACAAACACACCTGGATACTGTGAGCGCACAAACA